GGGGGCTTAAGGTTGAGCCTAAACCTCCATCACCTTCTCTGCAGTCGCAGGGTGCTCACAGTTGGCCACCAGAGCCCCTGGATCCACAGTTCCTTGTGATGTCTCCTCTCTTGAGCGTAGAACCCAAGAAGAGGAATCTGCGTTTTTATCTGTTCTGAACGGACAGCAACCTAACGAGCAGAGCTCAGGTAGTGCTGAGGGTTCGGAGCAGGTGACCTTTCTCCACGATGTGGTGGGATCTGTAACTCTGGCTCTTCCGTTGTCGAGCTCAGGTCCACATGAGGTTTCCTGCACTGCCATGCCGTCAGAAGCCATGTACGTGCGAAAAATAGAGCAGTCATTCACCACGGGCATAGAAGCAGTGCTAGATGGATTGACTGCGCCTCTTGGCGTTGTGCATTTGGTTGATCCGGGAGAAGCCAGACAGCACATTGACCGGTGGGTTCCTTCACTGGAGAAGGAACTGACGGCATTGGAACCCGCCATTCAGAGGTTCATGCAAGATGATGAGCTTCATCAGCAACTGCAGTCCCAGGGTGGCGTGATTGAGCTGCCGGCTAAGGTAGTGTACACAGTGAAGCCTCCCAACCAGGGGGCTTTGGAGACTGAGGCCTCAATGAATGCGCCGTCAATGTCCAGGCAAGAGCGTGAGACTCATTTGTACCGACGAAAGAGTCGGATCGTAGCGTGCGGCAACATGACAGAGCCTAGCTCGTGGGAGCTGTATGCTGCTGGTGCGACCTCAGAAGTCTTGCGGATTATCATCGCCGAAACGAGCTTTCGCGCATGGGCGCTGGGCGTATTGGACATCGTTGCAGCCTTTTTAGGCACCCCAATGCCTCCACCGGATCAATTTCCTCCTGTGATTGTTCGGCCTCCGGGCGTTCTCAAGTTGCGCGGGCTCGCAGGCCCTAGAGAGCTTTGGCTACTGCGGAGAGCTCTTTACGGGCTGCGAGAGGCGCCGAGGCTTTGGTGCTTGCACAGGGATGGATTGCTCAGGTTAATGACATTTGAAACAGATGAGGGCTTGCTTTGTCTGAAGCAGAGCAGTGGCGATGAGAACGTTTGGATGCTCCAGAAAGTTGATGAGATATTTCCAGAAGTTAAGGGCTACATACTCGTCTATGTTGACGATATATTGTTGGCCATGCCTTTGGCATTGATGCGTGCTGTTGCGTCCAAACTGCAAGACACGTGGAACACTTCTCCCCTGTGTGTTGCTTCAAAGGAGACGCCGGTGAAGTTCTTAGGTCTTGATGTGGTGGCTGTTGATGGTGGATTCTTTGTGACGCAAGAAACGTATGTTGACGAGCTAGCGCGGATCCATAATCCTCATCCTCCAGCTGTCACGCCTTTGACACGGGAGGAGTGCTCATTTGAGTTGACTTCGTCCGATGTTCCACCGACGCCAGAACTCACTTTGGAGTGTCAACAACGGGCCGGAGAGCTGTTATGGCTCTCGCAGCGCAGTCGTCCAGACATCGCCTTTACAAGTGCTCTGGTATCCAGTCTGTCCACTCGAGCTCCTGCGCGTGCCATCCGTGTTGCACAGAGAGCCCTCCGCTACGTTGCATCCACGCGGTCTTCCGGCATTCTCTTTGTTTCGCACAGCGAGGCAGCTCTAGATGTCTACACCGATGCGAGCTTTGCTCCAGAGGGCACGAAAAGCCATACTGGCTATGCTGTCTTCTACAGGAATGTGCCTGTACTTTGGCGGAGCGCCCGCCAGGGTCTGATCACCCTGAGCACAGCGGAGAGCGAACACATCGCTCTTCAAGAAGGCGCTGTGGCCGGCTTTTCTGTAAGAGCATTGATTCAATCCCTGCTCCTCCCAGTGTCCACGCCTGTTCTACACTGTGATTCGACTGCAGCACTTGCCATTCAGGCAGGCAATGGCAGCAGTCGCACACGTCACTTGAGAGTAAGAAGCGCATGGCTCAAGGAGAGAGTAGAGTTAGGCGAACTGTCGACTTGTCATCGGCCAGGCTCTGAACAAAGAGCAGATTTGCTCACAAAGCCGTTTGCGCGTCCTAGACTGCTGGAGCTCAATGGACTGTGGGGCTTAGTAGACAGGTCTCTCGTGTCGGCAAGGATCGTTCCGGATCCAGCTGCTCGAAAGGCATTGTTGGTGCTGTTGTTCCTTCTCCAAGCATCTCAAGCGAGGGCACAGCAGGTGGTGGATGACGATGCTGCCATTAAGTCAGACGTTTGGTTGTATGGGATAGCCGCCATGCTGGTAATAGTCGGTATTGCTGGCTGGGAGTTGTTGAGGTTCTTGTGGAGGGTTTTTGTTGAGCCAAGGGTTATTCAGAGCGAGAGGAGAGTTAGGAAGCTTCGTAGGCTGCAGGAAGCTGTTCAAGAAGAACTGCAAGAGCAGCTCGCTAGCGACCCTCCTAAGGCACCTGAAACACCTGTAGTCCCTAAGACCCGAACCCTGCCATCTGCACCACCGGCGCCAGCTTTCAGAGGAGATGCTTCGAGCTCCACGGATCATGCAAGTAGTCAGTCGTCGCATTTGCTGTCATCGCCACCTCAGTCGCAGTTTTCAGTGTTCTCTCGTAGTGGACATAGAGCTCGGAATGCATTGGCACTTCACAGAGACGCATCAACGCAGACTGAATTTCAGGACTATGTAGTGCCCACCCAGGTAGTGACACCTCCCGAAGTGTATGTCACGACCGGTCGGTGCTTTCATCTGTACCAAGACTGTCCTGCTGTGCAGAAGGCTAGGGGCGGCAGGTGGGCTCCGTTTTGCGAATTCTGTCGCGGAATTTAAGCTGGTTTAGTCGCGGATGCGTAAATTATGGAACCAAAGAGGGTGCTGTTTGAATAC